CTGGGGGAGACAGAAATCCAAAACAAAATGAAATACTGATTGTTTCAGAGCCATTTAAATATCAGCCAAACATTGGGCACTGAAAAAGAAAAACTGCCCCACATAAACAAACAAAACCAAACCAAAAAAAAAAAAAAAAGAGAGAGTGATATATTCATTTTACTGACATTTTAATGGTTCCTCTCCTCCCCCCCCCAGAAGATGATTACAAATTAAGCAGCATTTAAATGCTTTTTACTGTCAACAATTAAAAGGAGGGCTGTGAGCCTGAGAGTGTGGCAGCCATTCATTCCCACGGTAACCAGGCAGGCCCTCCCGCACTGTACCGCGCACAATGGCCAAACAGGGAGAAGTGCACACACCGTTAATTTTGCAGGATATTCTAAGCAAATTAAAAAAATTAAAAGCTCTTGGCACAAAGAGAGACACCACGAGTGAGGGCAGGGCCAGGAGGCCAAGCTCACGGAGTTAAAGTCTTAGCCACGGCAGAGTTTAAGCACAGTCTGATTACACCTTATTCGAGGCAGCGTTGCGTTCGGTGTACATACTGTGTGTTGGCAGGGAGGTACGGGGTGGAGGTAGCCTTCCTGGGGACAGAAGAATAAACAATTAAGAGAGCCCGGGAGCTCCAGGCCAGACCTCAGGCCCCAGGCAGTAGGTAGAAGACACATTAGCTGCTCCAACCTGGGCTTCCCAGCAGGCATCGGTCTGCCCACGGCCACCCCTCCAGCGCCTGAGCCACAGCCCTCTCTGCGGGCCCACACGCAGGGACCAGGTGATCTTAACTTCACTCTGGTTCGAGGAAAGGATTTCATTCCAGGCTGGACCAAAGAACAAATTGAAGTTCCCAGAAGCCGACTCTCTTCTTTCAATACCCACACTGTCACTATCAATTCATGCCCAACCCCTGCCCCCCCAGCCCAAGACCGCCAACACCCGCGTCTTCCCAAAAAGCTAACCCTCATTCCGGGCTGGGTCTCAGTGCATTTTATTGCTAGACCCCTGTTTCAGCCAACGCAAGACGGATTCTCACCATGAACCCCTATCATCACAGGTGCCTCTTAGAGTAACGGGAAGACAAAAAACTCAGCCCCCTGGCTAAACGGGAGAAAAGCAAAGATAAAAAAAAAAAGGAGTGTGGGGTGGGGAACATGGGACGCAGCCACCAATTTCCTTTCCAGTCCTTCGGAGAGGAGGACAGAAAGCAAGAGAAGTGAGCTGGTGAGAGTGAGAGGAGGCTGGGTTTAGAAGGAACCGGGTACATTTCTGTCCCGTGAAGTTTAATATGCAGGAGGGGCCGCACCGAAATAAAAGAGACACGTCCCCTTTAAAAGGAAATATAATTTACAGTGTGCAGCCAGGCGGCCCATAGTTTCAATCTCGTTTACTATAGAGAAAACTCTGCTAGCTGTTCTCTATCCCACAAATCCGATTTAATCAGACAAGCCAGCCAGCGTGGCTTGGAGTAAAAACGGATAATTAGTAAACAGAGAGCTACTCCAGTGCTTCATTGGCATTCGAGTTGGGCTACTGTGTCGCATTTAAAATGCAGTCTGATGAAGTTTACAAAATCAAACCATTTGTTACTCCTATTGAAGAGGCTTCAGGCCACTTGCAATTAAATTGGAATTAGTGCTCAGAATGAGACACAGCAAATTCATACTAAAAAGGGATCTGACTTTGAGACATTTGACTTCACTTCAACAGTTTCTGTGTGAGTGTGTGGGGGGGGTTACGAAAGAACTCCTCACTCGCCCCGACTCTGCAGGGCTCCCCAACTCTGTGAGCCTGCCCCCCACAACCTGCCACTTTCTGGGCTGGCTGCGAGGGAGGGGGCAGCGGGGGAGGGGACGGACAGCTGACACTGGGGAGCCAGGCCCTGCATTCACACCAGGAAGATACTGTACTAGGGAAAATGTGTCCACAAAGGACCATATGGCTCCCTTCTGCATTGAGCCTTTGGACAAGGGGGTGGGAGGGGGGCGGGGAAGCTGCCAGAAGGCACACTTCCAGGGGCGCCGGCCCCGCCCACTTCAGACAGCAGGCTGGCAGCTTGGGGAGAATGGGGGCACTTCTTCCCCTTTGGCTCAGTTCCTGCGATGCTCCTGCCTTCCCTCCCTCCAGGGTCCACGCACAGGGAAGGTTTCCAACACCACGTCCTACTCATCAGCCTACTCCCGGCCAAGCACTGCCCTTCTAGGCAGAAAAGGTGGGGCAAACCGTCTTGGCAGGGCTCTTAACCTCGAGGGGGCAAAACCCCCAAGCCATCTAGGGATAGAATTCAGGAAGTTGGTGAACCTGGGAGGGGAAAATACTCCATCTTGATTTCCACCGACCTGTAACTGAAATTCAGCAGTTCCTTCAGTGGGGCATGAAAGCAGTGGGATTAGCTGTACCTGTCACTTGGTCGTCCACAGGGAGCTGGACATTTTCATGCCGCATTAGAAGTGTTGCAGTTATCTCGAAACATTTATGCAACCCAGATATTAGACCACTGTTTGAGCTTGTTCACGGGATAACAAAGAATCACACGTATACTGTGTTACAAATGGTTTAAAAATATCTTGCTAGCTGTACTTAAAAGTTTCCATCCATAATCTTATGGATTTCACTTTATGCGTCTAGGGGCATTATTCTGAAGGATTTACAGGTTTCACCAGATTTCCCAAAGGGCGCACGGCACAAAATGTTCAGAATTCCTGGTCTCGGGGCTCGGGGTAGGAGTGAGGAGGAGTCATCATTCAATGGGGGCAGAGTTTCAGTTTGGGAAGATGAAAAAGTTCTGTGGATGGATGGTGGCGACAGCTGCACCACAATGTGACTGTACTTAAGGCCACTGAACTGTACTCTTACAAATGGTTAAAATGGTAACTTCTATGTTGTATGTATTTTACCAAAAAAAAAAAAGAATCCTTAGTCTCAACTGCTCCAAAGTTACTTGTGCTTCTACAATCCCTCTGCTGCCCGGAAGTATCTAGACTTACATCCAGTTTCATTCTTTCTAAACTTTTCCATCTGCAGCTTAGACCAGAGCTGCACGCTCAGGCTCCCGGGAAGCAGGGAGCCATCCTGAATGCGTCCTGAGAAAGGACACGGCCGGAGGTCCAGGCTCTCTGCTCAGTTCGGTGGTTGCCAAACAGCCTTGGGTGAGTCACTCCAAATCCATGTTTACCGTCTCCCTCTCCCCATTAGAACGAAAGCTGCTCGAGACCAGGGACCTCATTTCTCTAATATATAGCTGACAGGTTCTTGGACCTGACAGGTGTCTGATGAATATTTACCGGATGGAGGGAAGGACGGATGGGCGGATGAAGGATTAAACAAATGAATTTTCTCTCTCTGGCCCTCAATCTCATCTGTGACATAAAGAGGGTAGGCTCTGTGATCCTTTAAAGCTCCTGCAGTCCCCGCGGGGCTCCATCTGCTCACCAGGCTCCCCACCTACTGCCCACACCCTTCCCTCCAGCGCGCAGCCCCTAGAAGTCGACAGTGAGTGGTGCATGCAGACAGGTGGGGGACGGGCTGTGGCAGGAGCCTGTCTGATGTGGAAAACTGAGGGTGATGGACCAGTGTCCCTGGGCCCCACGACGTTCCTGTGGACCTCAGGCCCTGCCACACCGAGAGGAAACAGGCTGGAGATGATGGTGGGAGATGGAGGACAGTGAATTCACAGACTTGCTGAACAGACAAGCAGCAAGACGGAGGCCTGAGAAGGGGCTTTTCTGTGGTTACCAAGCGGCACGCAATGGCTTTTAAAGCCCAGAAGGAGGAGATCGTCCTTTTTGCTATTCAGGGAGGGTGGGAGAGGAATTTGTGGTCAAGAACAAAAACCAAAATGGTCCACCAGCCTTTCCCACTTCCCTGAAATCTGATCTACCCTCCTTCCAAGCTGGCTGCAATCCTGACTTTCTAAATCTATCCCAGGGAAGGAAGATGGGGTATCTGGCAGACTCAAGCCTGGGCCTCAAGCCCACATTAGGTGGTGGGCATGCTCCTCCAACAATGGATGGGCAACCCGGTCCTCCCCTGACCACGTGCACATGCACACACACACCCCTTGACGCCCAAGGAAGGTCTGCAGAGAAACCCCAGCTTCGGATTCTAACAAGGAAAGGCAAAGCACAATGTCCCTTATGTGTGGTTTGGGGTTCTGCTTTCTCCCGGGTGGGTTCTTTCTCCCAGGTACCTCCCCTTTCAAGTCCTCCTCTGGAGTTTCTGGGCCACTCCCTGCCAGGACTGGAGTTGAGGTTGGCTCCAGAGCAGGTGGGAAAACTGATGGCTGACTTCCCCAGGCCACAGCCAGGTGTCCAGCACCCCGATCTCAAAGAGCCAGAGAAGACACCTCTATACTGTCCGACACAGTCAAGCACCACTTGATTGCCAAATCTTCCCATCCTACCTCTTTTCCAATTATCTCCATCCCCCTCTTTGGGTGGCAGTCCTTTTATTTCCCTTGGAAGACAGCACTGAAGTGTCACTTTTAGCACCATTCGCTCATTCCCTCGTGAACTCAAGCACCTGGCGTTTCTTGAGTTCCAGTTCTGCACAGGCGTCAAATAATACCAAGGCCTCGATGCTAAGAAGGCAACTTCTTCCCTTAAGAAGCTCACAGACTTAAGAAGTAAAGCGTAAGACACCTCGACTTTGAGGTCAGACAGATCCTGGGTTCAAATCCTGACTGTGCCATTTATTTACTAGATAGAGAATCATATGCAAATTTCCTAGTATCTCTGGGTCTCGGTTTCTTCATCTTTATTAGAGTCGTAACACCCACAATACAAGGTCACTGGGAGGATCAGAGAAAAGATATGAAAGTGTCTACCACAGCGCCAGATGGTAGGGAATCAATAAATGGGAGCTGTTTAGAACAGTGATCCAGGAGCCTGGCTGAGGGCTATGTGGAGACAGGGATGTAAAGTGCACTGTGGTGTTTTAACTTAGGTACCCGGAACCGAACAGGACCGCTCCAGGAGATGCTCGCAGAGAACACTCCAGGCCTCTCATCATAAGAGCTATTCCTTTAAGGCATTAAATTGAAACCTCCTTCCTATCCTCCAAGTTCTCTCATCCAGTGACTCTCACCAGAACTGGTCTCTAGTCCCCAACCACCCCCAGAACGTCCTTCCTCTCCTTACCTCTTTCCCCACCAGTGCAGACTTGAAGGCCCATGGTTCAACTACCAGCCGCCTCCCAGCCAATTCCCGAACGCCCGTGCCCACTTCCCTTCCACTGTCCCCACCCTACCAAACGCTAATCTTGGATCCGTCTAACTCATCACCTTCTCCACTCCTGGAGCTGCCTACACATACTGCCTCTGCTTCCCAAGTGCTCATTGACTCTTTAACCCGCCATGATCTCATTCTCGCCTCCATCATTCTATGAAGACCAAAACTGTTTGCCTGTAATAACCAATGACCCCCATATCACCAAATCCAACATTTTCCCAGTCTTCCTCTTGGCAGGAATTGATGACTACTTTTTCCTTCCCATGACTCCGCCCTCTCTTGGTCCCGGACCCTCCATGTCTTCCAGCAACTCCTTTTCAACCTCCATGATGGAGTGTGACTGTTCTTGAGGGCACAGTATG